AATAACAAAATAAAAATTTAAAATAATTCAAACAAGTAAATACATTAACGTACAATGCAGCAAAGTAATATCTAGTAATCAATTGTAACAAATATACACTGCCATACATGTCCAACAGATCTAGCAGTAAATTCATAAAAAAAAAAATGCATGAACTACCATATATGTCCAAGTTGGGTTGGATTATTAAATTGGGTTTGGAAAGACTTAGAATTGGAAAAGTAATTAGGTTGGGCAACTAAGGTTGAGTTGGATTAGCCAATTGGGTTAGATTAATAAAATTAATTGATAATATATTTAAAAGTATATATTTTTTGTTATGTATAAATCATCACCGGTCTCTACAGGGCAGAGGAAATTTTCTATTAAATTTCATGCAGAAAAAATGCTTCTATCCTTGCCCATAAAAAGAAATATTTTTAGAATCTCCATCTTCATGAATAAGAATTTTTACGAAACTCCTTATATTTAAGAGGAAATGGTTAAATTCAATAAATAGTCTATTAACTATGTGATTTATTTCAGTTTAGTTTAGAAACAATTTTTTCTTTCAAAATGATCTATAAACTATCAATTTTGTTTCAAAATGGTCTACTTAACAAACATTCCGTTAACTGACTAACGGAATTTTTTCTAGCTATTGACAAGCTACCCCTAAACTTTTGAAAAATGTTAAATTAGGTATATATTTTTTTTGCTTTTTTGCAATATTTTTTTTAAGTTTAAATTCTATGTCAAATGTAATAATTAATTAAGATAATAATTTTAATTTACATAGATCAAGATTCTAATTTTAATTTACAACAATCAATATTATAATTTATATTTAATTATTTCTTAAAAAACTTAATATCATTATTAAATTACATATTTTTTTACTACTTTGTATAGAAAAATAAAAAATTTTATTTTTATTTTTAACACTAATAATACATGCATGATTTTAATTTGGGGATTTATAAAATTGAAATGAATTTTTATTTTTTCAGGTAATTTCATCTTGGTTAATTATTATATTCAACAAAAAAATTTGAATTTAAAAAACAAAATGTTGTAAAAAATAAAAATATATGTACTATATTTAACATTTTTCAAAGTTTACCGAGTAGCTTGTCAACAGCTAGAAAGGATTCCATTAGTCAGTTAACGGAATGTTTGTCAAGTAGATTATTTCGAAATAAAATTGATAGTTTATAGATAATTTTAAAAGAAAAAATTATTTTTAGATTAAATTAAAATAAATTACATAGTTAATAGACTATTTATTGAATTTAACTAGGAGAAAAGTGCCATAGAAACCTTTGTTATGGAGTGTTTTGAACTATAAAGTTTTTTGGTTTTTACTATTTAAAAATGTATCTAATATTAATTAAAATTTTTTAAATATATAAAAAATTAATAAAAATTAATTAATTAATAATAGATTTATATTTTTAAATAAAATATCACGATAAAATGTTAGGCAAAAGA